TAAATAGAAGGGACATCCTCCTAACATCGTGAAGTAAAGTTGGTCTATTCACCAGGTTAAAGGCATTCGAGAAATCCATTGTAAGCATAGCAAGAGACCCATCATCCCGGTGTTCACTAAACACCCTATTGGCATTGTGTAACACATCCTCAGCACCCACGGATACACCGGCCCCAAACTAAAAATATTTAGGAACTTGGCCATCTCTTTACCCACAACTTTCATAGCAACCTTGGAAACCAAACGTCTCCATATAATACCTACTACAATTGGTCGGATCCCATTCTCTAGTCTAATGAGAGGCGTGAGAGGAGTGGATGCATCAAACTCTACCAAAATAGATGGACATTTCTCCACTAACCATAAATTAACCATTGTAGTGATAGCACATAGGAGATATGTGGCTATATCCAACCCTTCTCCACAAAAAGAATCTAGAATATGTTGAGCCCTTAAGCCATCTCTCCTACATGAAATTCCTTTAGGGAAAGATTTAATGCAGCTAAGCACACTCAATCTCTGTTACAAGGGGAGGTTCAAAAAATATGGGGCTCAACATGGATGTGGTGACCTGAAAGGGTGCTTATCCTCCAAAGCTTTAATAGTATCACCATTGTATGTCGCAACATCAGAGGAGCATAACACTTTCACTGTTGCGGTAAAATGCCTATTTGCTACCTTACGAAGGCGCTACATGATGTTGGTGTTACTCGATGTTGTATTCTTCTGAAAGATGCCTCCACCCTGTCCCATTAACCCCACCCCGAAACCGTTTAACATTTTTTTAACTTCAAGATAGAACTTTGTTGTAAGGATTTCCTATTCCCAGACCTGCATTCTTGTCTATTCTTGAGCATAAACACCTACAACGTATAATGAGGAAGAAGTAACAGACTAATCCATGCATCAACAAAAGTGGGTTGGGCAATTACCTTGTAAAGAAATGTTCTCAAAGCCTAAAAGAAAGCGAGGCGGAAACTATGGGGGATACTTTTAACAGTAGTGATAGGTGCTTTAAGAACATGATCAAGAAGCCCAACATCCAAATCCAAACGCTTAATAACGTGTGTCGCAACCTCTTTGGTGGACGGATTTGAAATACTGACAATGTAACTACTCAAGTCGCCAGCCCTTGTAAAAAAACGAACAAGACCTTCCAAATGATGACAAGCATGACCAGTAGCATGTAAAGTCATATACTTCCTACACATCTATTGACCAAAAGCCTTCAATGATTCCTCCACCACCATAAATAATCCTTCATCGGTAGAAAGAGCTTCATGCAAAACACATTTACGATCTTTAGTTAAGAGATGATGCCTTTTGAGGTGCAAAATCAAACGGAAAACCCCTTACTTCCAACTTCACCATTTGGGCAACAATGGAAGCTTTCGAACAAGCACAGGAAAATATCATTCGAAATTATAGAAGAAGCCAGAAAAGAAAGCAAGCCTCGAGATGAAGCTTAACCTATGATGCCGAAATTTAAAGGAGAAAAAGGAAATGGCACACCAACATACTATTGGTGTACACAAAAACAACTCAAACTAAACAAGCTACATTATCCTGAAGACAAGGTATTAAATTGAGAAAAAACCGGCTTAGGCATTTTATCAAACACTTGGAGGGCAAAATAAAGGGCTCATGGGAATTCCATCTTCTTCCAGTGAACCAACAATCCAAAAAACCTCCATATAGTTAAAAAAAATAGGTCAAAAACAAGAATTTGTTTATGTTCATTCTTCTGCAGAATTGTGATTGCTAGCACAAACCAACCAGTTCGACGGTTTCATTCTTGATTCCTTCCAAGCTAAGCACCATATCACCAGCCATCTTCGACATCGGTGAACGAAAACAATATAGGTAAGGTAGCTTGACTCTCGGATGATTCATTTCCGTTTATTCGTAAATTTCAAAAGGAAGTGGAGGCATTGAGAAGTAAAAAAGAAAGGGAAGATTGCTTAACCATCCAAGGGAATGTACCATTTGGATTGCCTAACCTTTGAGTATTGCCATTTTGACATTTAGACAAGGAACTTAAGACCTCTCCCTGTAATTGATTTTCATTCAGAACAAGACCTTCTAATATTCCACAGTGCTAATATACATTTGGGTTGGTGCCATGAAAATGATTGTTCTCTATATTGATAACCTTAACATAAGAGATAATATTTGAAAAGCATTGTGGAATTACTCCATTAAACCTATTATAGGACATATCCAGAGCGTATAGATTTCTCATATTGTGTATTGATGAAGGGAATGGTCCTTGAATCTAGTTGGACTTGACATTCAAATACATTAGAGATGAGCTGATTTTTTCCAAACATTGTGAAATCTTTCAACCAAAGCTATTATCAGACAACACAAGAACTTGTAGAATGCTCATGTTGCAAATTGATGGAGGAATTGGTCCTTTAATCATGTTAGATTGTAGATATAGGAGGTGAAATCTATCCCATTGAAAGTGTGGCAAGCCTTTTATGTAGTTATTTGAAAGATCCAACTCGTCCAACCAGTTTGCCCCTATCTCCCCTGCCCACTCAGGAATGTGTGCGTGTATGTCGTTATTAGAAAGATCTAATATCTCAAGTTTCTTTATTTTCTTTTAAGGTATGGGGAAACACAATTACCCTTCAAGATGCCAAATCTAAGTACCAAAAAGCAGGATTGACATAGCTGGTAGAATGGTTGTTAGTGATAATCGATAAGCCACTATTACCAAGGCCAAATACTTGAAGGTTCAGTAGGCTTAATAACAATTTATACAAATCCATAAACCTATGAAATTATTCAATGAAAGGACATTGGAAGTGAGTTTTTTTAGTTTGATAAATGACGATGTATTGGAGTCTTGATTAATCGTGCCATCAAAGTGATTGTTAATAAGGAATACTCTCTTTAATGATCCACAGTTGAACAATTCTTTCGGTAAGCCTCCACTAAACATGTTATTACCAACAAAATCGTCTTCTAGAAAGGGAAGAGTAAATAAGGAAAAAGGCAATGTTCCGTTAAGTATGTTATCTGATAAGCGGATAGTAGTAAGGCGGCTAAGGTTAACTAGGGATTTGGGAAGAGACCCTGTGAAACCACAAGAAGAGAGATCCAAGTAGTTCAATGAATTGAGATAGCCTATCGAATCGGGTATCTCTACGGATAAGTTGGTGGATTAGAGATCCAACCACTTAGATGGATGCTAATGCTTTGGTTAATCGTGAAACCAGTGAGGTTATTATTGTGTTACAAGTCAAGTATTTCCGAATATTTAATATTGAAGATATTATTTGGTAATTTCCCTTGCAATCCATTATTGCTAAGATCAAGTGATTTCAAACTACATTGGTTTATTATAACTTGTGGCAATGGCCCAAGAATGTCATTGTTTCATAAGTAAAGTTTTTCCAAATATTGAAGACTGAAGATGTTACAAGGTAAGTTCCCATGCAAACCATTGCGGCTAAGAACGAGCGATTTTAGGGAAGAAGATATATTAAGATAAGTCGGTAAAGCCCAACCTATATCAACACCAGAAATCAATAGCTCTCTCAAATGAGTAGAATTTTGTAGCAAGTTATTCAAAACATAAGATTGAATCCGCAATCTAGCATTCATAGAAAGGTCAAGCAAAACCAATTTACGAAGAAATTTCTCTAGTAAACGCGGATGCAGAGATGTTGAGATGTGTGAGAATACTAGGAAACTTGGTAAGATTACGTGTATATCATTGTAAGCGAGGTTGAGTCTTTGTAGATAAGGGAGGGGAAAGAGGGTGGTGTTAGGGAGGATAATACCTTGTAGCATACCACAACTAAGGTCGATATCGATACTATTACCAATAAAGTAATTGCAGATGACACCATCCCACTTACAACAATCTGTATTCTTGTTACAATTCATCATGATTGGATAATAGCGAGAACCAAGCTGATCTTACATTCTGAAGCATAATATGTGTCATTGATGGAGGAAAGGTTTTTCTTAAACTGAAGCAAAGCAAATGCCTGATCAGTAGAGCATTTACTGGTGTTATTGAAAAAAGAAGAGGAAGAAGCAGAAGCAAAGAAGAAAAGGGAAAGAAATAATGAGATGAACAACTTTGAATCATCCATCGTCTTTATTTATTGTAATCATTCACTTGCCTGACTTATATATACATTATCATGTCATTGTTATATACTAGAATTTGCTAGGAGTTACTTTCACGGACCATTGACATTTTCCACCTTCCCACCTCATGGAGTCATGGTGTAGTCAACATCTATTGTTTGGTCTAAATATATTTCATAATAATACCTTGCACCTAAGGACTTGAATTGTGATTTTGGAGCTCTTTAATTTGTTAAATATGAGATCATTTAATAATTTTTTTTCTACGCTTACTTTAACTTCTTATCCGAATCATACTGAACCAACTAAGGAACTTACACTAACAAACTTAACATCTTTTCTTTATCATCTTTAGCTAATTTAGAATTTGATAGACGGTGTTACATCAAGTTGAAGGTTGAAATTTCACATAAGAAAACTGCCCTGCTGTACACTCACTGTCCATGAAATTCTGGTCCAAAATTTACTGGTAGATGATTTGACTCAAAGAAACAAGATGTCTTGAAACTGGAGGGTGGGGCCTTAGCTTTTAACTTCTTATGCATTTTTTCAAAATTGGAGATAATATAACAGAAGACATATAGTATTTGTAGATATTTTCCAAATGGACCTCTACTTTTATTTTCTTATTTGTTTTTGTATCAGTGAAACATCTTCCAGCTATATATTAGTACTGATGTCGTTACAATCCAACAGGTTAATACTTGTCAACTAAAGAATTCACTTAAGGTATGTAGACTTTTCAAGTCAAGTAACACATGAACTTACATCGACAAATAGATTATAGAGAAACAAATAAGTTAAAATATGCAACCCAATATCATATTATATATGTTAATAATATGTTGTATACAAACTAATATCGAGGGTGGTGGGTGTGTGGGAGAGATGATGATATTTTTGTTATGATTTTATAAATCATGGCTAAAATAAAAAAAGAGGTGGAGGGCATTTTTATCTTTTTAATCAAACATACCCTTAATCAAAGAATGTCAGTAGAATGCAAAATTTAATGGAATTCATTTGATTTTGTCAACCAAACACAATTAATTCTATCACGTTATATAAGGAAGGTCATGAGGTGTGGAATGGATGATGACTAATATTGTCCACATACAAGACCAAAGATGGCATCATGGGCTATGAGCTTTGATTCGCAAGTTTCGTACAACCAATCAGGAAAACAACATAAAACTTCCTTCACCAAACATAAAAAGAAGTAACAAACGGAATAAATGTCATCATTACATGCTCTAATTAGTAAATCTAAACCTACAAAAAGCATACTGTTAGATGATTGCATCAGGAAACAGCGATGTTGAACAAAATAAGAAGACGATAAGCAAAAAGTAACTGGGAGAATGCAACCTAGGGAATTTGTGGACGGCCACGCTAGTTGAAGTGGGGAAGTTAAAGTAGCATAGAGCTTGATTGTACAACACCAAATCTCTAAATCACACACATAGATTGTCGCACTTTCAAATTAGTTGGTTATTGCTACTTATTTCTCAAATCAACAACTCACATGATATACCTAGTCAATTCACCTTTAGGATATGATTACAGCCTTAACACTTCAGGAAATCCACAAAACAAGATTCCCTTAATATTAATGGCATTGGAAAAAAATTTGAACAATGAAATTATATAAAGAAAAAGGACAATAAAATGTAAACCCAAGATTCAAACACCTACAAATCAACGGCTGCATAATCCAAAAGTTCCAAGTGCACCCGCAAGTTCTCTACCTGTATCGGTCAAAACCCAAGTTCATTTTCCAATATATACAAATCTTCTCGTGTTTTTCCTTGTGTGGATTATGTGCTCTGCTGCATCAACAATTGCGTTGAACCATTTTGGTCGTCCGGTAGACAACATGACATGACCCATGACTAATCCAAGTATGGTCCCACACCCATACCCCATCATCACCACTCTCCATGTAAATCCGCTCTCCCCATCTCCATCTCCATCAATTTCAAGTTGTGTCTCCTGTCGATGCTCACACTTTGTGGGTAACGGAAGACCACAAAGTTTTGGGTTCCCTCCAAATGAAGCCTCAAAAGTACCAAGTTGTGTTCCTGATGGAATACTCCCCACAAGATGGTTTTGGGAGAGATTCAAGAATCCAAGAAATGTTAAGTGTGCAAGGCTTTGAGGTATCTCTCCTGTGAGTTGGTTCCAAGAGAGGTCTAAGGATTCAATCTCCGAGAGATTCCCTAAAACAGATGGGATTTTCCCTGTGAGGCTGTTGTGGGATAGATCAAGCACTTTGAGCGAAACAAGACAACCAATGATGCCCGGAATCTCCCCTTCAAATCGGTTGTTTGATAGAACAAGAATTACATAGTCAACCGAAATTTTTGGAAACTCTAGGTCCCTGCCTTTCACAGCAGTAGTGACCGTGTAAAACTTTCCAATGGACAAATATATTGGTGTTGTGCTATTCTTTACCACGTTCTTCATGGCATTGAAATTTTGCAAATATGTTCGTGGGAGATGGCCTTCAAACTCATTATGAGATAAGTCGAGAACCCGCATACCTGGAAATGCGCTTTTATAAGTATCAGGGGTTTCAATGGGACCATGAAACTTGTTTGATTTAAGGACAAGAGCCTGCAGCTCTGGAAGATCGCCTAACCAATGAGGGAATGTGCCATTTAATTTGTTGTTTCCAACATCTAATACCATCAAGGATTGACAGTTGGACAAGGAACTTGGGACCTCTCCTTGTAATTGATTTCCATTCAATATAAGCCCCTGTAATTCTCCACACTCCTCATACACATCTGGAATGATGCCATGGAAACTATTGTGCCCCATATCTATCATCCAAAGAGATGAGACGATATTTCGCAAGCATTGTGGAATCACTCCAGTAATGCTATTATTGGATATATCTAGAGAATCTAGATTTCTCATATTGCAAATTGATGTAGGGAACTGTCCTTGAATCTGGTTGGACTGCAGATGCAAAAACAGTAGAGAGGAGTTGATATTTCCCAAGCATTGTGGAATCACTCCACTAAAGCTATTATTGGATATATCCAATAATAAAAGACGGCTCATGTTGCAAACTGAAGGAGGGAACGACCCTTGAATCTGGTTGGACTGCAGATTAAGATATTCCATTCCATCCCATTGAAATTTTGGTAAGCCTGTTATGGAGTTAAATGAGAGATCCAAGTAGTACAATTCATTTGCTCCTATCTCCCTTGCCCAATCAGGAATGCGACCATGTATTTCGTTATTTGATAGATCTAAATAAGTAAGTTTTTTCATGGCTCGTAAAGACTCTGGGAATAAAGTTAGCTTGCAAAATGCCAGACCTAGTCTACGAAAATTAGGGTTGACATAGCTAGAAGAACCGTTGTTGGTGATAACAGATAAGCCAGTGTTACTGAGAAGAAGTCCTTGAAGATTTGGTAGGCTTGACAACAATGTATCCAGATCCCATAAACCTGTGAAGTTATTGAATGAAAGGCTTAGATAAGTGAGGTTGACAAGTTGGATAAATGATGGTTGAGTAGAGCCTCCATTAATCTTGCCATTAAATTGATTCCTCCCAAGGGATAATCTCTTTAATGAACGATGGTTGAACAATGTTGATGGTAAGCCTCCACTAAACATGTTATTACCAAGAATAATGTCTTCTAGCAAGGGAAGAGTAAACAAGAACGAAGGCAATGTTCCATTAAGCTTGTTATATGATAAATCAAGACTTGTAAGGTGTCTCAGGTTAGCTAGGGATTTGGGGAGGGACCCTACCAAACCGCAGTTAGAGAGATCCAACCGCTTGAGAGGGATGTTAAGGCTCGTGTTAACGTTTGGCAATGGACCAGTGAGGTCGAAATTTGCTGACAAATCAAGTTTTTCCAAATATTGAAGATTGAAGATGTTATCAAGTAATTTCCCTTGCAAATCGGTGTAGCTAAGATCAAGTGATTTTAGAGATGAAGATAAATTAAGAAAAGTGGGTGAAACCCAACCTATATGAATCTGAGGCATCAAGAGCTCGCTCAAATGACTTGAATTTCGCAGCAGATTCTTCAAAACATCAGGTTGCATGTGTAGTCCGTAATTCCAAGAGAGATCAAGGGAAACCAATTTAGGAAGAAGTAAGATTTCCCAAGAATTGTTGCCAGTAAACCCACATCGAGAGATGTTGAGATGTGTGAGACTATTAGAAAAGTCACGTGGGAGTTGGGAATCAGTAAGAACATTGTAAGCAAGGTTGAGTGTTTGGAGATGAGGAAGGCGAAAGAGGGAGGTGTTAGGATGGAGGGTACCTTGTAGCATTCCACAACTCAAGTCGATGCTTATAACATCACCCGTGTAGTGATTACAAGTGACACCATTCCACTTGCAACAATCTGTATTCTTATTCCAGTTCATCATAATTGGATAATAATAATCAGACCCAAGCCAATCTTGGCATGGGGAATATAGAGGGTAATCGAATGAAAAATTAATGGACGAAAGGTTTTGCTTAAAGAGAAGCAAATCAAGGGCCTGTTGAGGAGAGCATTTGTGAGTGTCATTGAAAAAAGTGGAAGTAAAAGAAATGAAGAAAAAGAGAAAGGAAATCGAGATAAGCAAGTTTGAATTACTCATTGTCTTTAATTAGCTGCTACAAACATTTACACATGCTCAAATATATATACTCATGGTAATATTACAAGTAGTTTGTTTAAGAGTTGCTTTCAGACACCATTGACATTTTATGCCTCTCCAAACCTCATGCTCTAGTCAGATGTGTGTAAATGGGTTAGACAAGTCATTTGTTTAGTTGGTCCTCAAGTTTGAATTTTCTTTCTAATTATGCAAAATCTCCAACTTGTAGTTGACTTCATGATTAAAAGAATAGTTCCATGAAACTCCTTCCAAATAAGTCTTCATAATCCATTATAATGGTTCATGACAAAACACGTTCAAAAGTTTTGGTTCCATACTTTATGAATTGTCTTGCTTGCATCCTACTTGAATGTAGAATTTAAATCTTGAGATAAACCACATGTACTAGTGAATCATCATCACAAGCACCTTGTTGATAAAAACTTGTGGGTCTAATGAACAAACATATAAATCCCAAATTAACTTACCACTCCGTGGATCCACAAAAATATGAAGAATTTTATTATTGGTCACTATGAAAAAAGCAAAAAGTTTCTTGATATTTAATTTTATGAATCCTTTTGCAACTATTAGGCTAAGGGGAGTGGCCCATGTCATACAAACACCTCCCCCCAAGGGTGGCATGGCAAAAAACATTGTCAAACGGCATTGTTGTGCCAAGGTGAGAGAAAGGAGAGAGGAGAGAGTGTGAGACTGTAAATGGCTACTTCTTTTTCTTTTTCTTTTTTATTTATTTTGAGTCATCCCCTGAAAATGGCATGTCATTTATGTTGTGGGATAAAAATAATATGTAAGCAGTTTGTGACTTCAAAGATAATGTGAAAGTATGATATGACATGCTCCACTCCCTCCAACCTTGCTAGATATTACTTTGCAGTAATGGTCTTGGTCCACACGTTCCTTTTTTTTCATAACTTTTTATAACATCTAGTATTGGATAGGTTAACTACTTTAATTCTTTTGTTACTTCATACAAACTTTCAAACTTTTACTTTTGTAACAAAAGTCAGAAGACAACGCTGATGGTTTTTCCAGTTGATGTGATTGTTCCATAAAAAGCTTGTGGTTGACTTGTGTAGACTTTTAAACAAAGACTTCTATAAGTCTCCACCATTCACCTTGCAACCCTTCTATGGTTTGGAGGAACTTGTATAAATCATGTATTATTTGCTTTTTATGATCATAATAAAATCAAAAGTACTAATAAATTATATCAGGGTTATTCACAAGAAATCCCTCAAGTTTAAGTTTTTACGGTTTTATTCTTTTTGTAATTTTTCCCGGTTTTACCTCAAAATTTTCACAAAACTTTTTAAATTTCACCCTTTTTACCTTTTTTCTTCGGTTTCTCGGTTTCCCTAAACTGCAATAAAACCTGTAAGTTTACAAAGTTTTAGGTTTTACCCCATAATTTTCATGTAACTTGTTCACTTTACTCATTTTTGCCTTTTTTTCTATTGACAGGATGACTTTTGTTGACTCCTGAAAAAGGCATTGTCGTTACTATTAACCTATGGTGATTCCTAATACATGAGTGAAAATAAGAATAAGCATCCATATGATGACATAGACATCTTATGCGGATTACATTCCCACATACCTTTTTCAAGGATCATAAAAAATACCAGGTCAGCAAGTGAAAGGGACAAATGCAATCACATGGTTCACCTTGAATTACCTCCATAGAACATTAATATCTCAACAAAACCTTGCTACTAATGCAGGAGAAACTACATAAGATTAAAGGCTCATAGAAAAAAAAATGGAACAAAAAAGTATGATTCCAAGTGTCTTATCAGCAATTGGATGCTTTACCAAAAATCCCACTTCTGTGAGTTAGAAAATATGTGAACTAGCAAGATAGAAACATGTGGATCGTAGTGCACAAATCCATGTTTGAAAATCTTTTCAGCAAATTTCTAGTGGCCTGTGTTGTGTAAAAAAAATAACAAACATTCAACAACCAAGCAACATGATTCATAAATCGTATATTAGTTGCCAACAAAAGAATCAAAACAAAGCAATCGAAAGCATCAACAACGAGCTTACAGAAATATCCCAATCCCAAAAACCAGGTGGTGGTGGTGGAAAAGAAAAAAAGAACACAAATCATGCAAACAAAAGACTCAAATGCAGCTTAATTCATTATAACCTTCAAAAGTCACTCCTGAACAGGCATAGAATAACAGTTTAATTCATTATAACCTTACCAAAACAAAAGACTGATGAATGTGTAGGGAGAGGAGATGGCCCATTCTATCCAGCCTCCAAATGCAGAATTTTGAGCAAAGAAAGAATGCAACAAAGAGGCAGAGGATAAATTGGTTGTTTGTTAACTACAAAATATTAAATTAGATCTCGATCATGTTAGGCCAAGGACTGAAGCAACGTGATAGGAAAAGAAAACTGAAGCGCGTGGTAAGATCAAACTAAATTGGAGTTACATCTTGCTCTTTGAAGTCAAACCCATTGATTCTAGATCACAATGCTCAAGAACAAAACTTACAACACGTTGACATAAACTTGACCGTTTAATTCATCTATTTTTGCCCTTGAGCTGTGGCTCTTCCTAATTAAAAGGAGAGATTAATCTACCGAGGCACAAACACATTATCGGACTTTCAAAAGTGATTCAAGGATCCTTATATTTTACCATAGGGAAAGAAACATCACAAGTCAAAGTGCACATACAGAGGAAACAACAGCATAAGAAAACGCATTTGGAACAAAAATTCAACCAGAATTTGATGTTAGTCAAGGGAACTTACCGAAGGCAATCGTTGCAGAGGAGAGCGAAAGGTGAAATAGGAGGACGGGGGAGAGCGATGTAAATCTTGAGAAAAGCGGCAGGATCGTCGGATTGACCTATAGTCGCAGCACCAGCGCCGGCGCTCAAGGGCGTAGCAGCAAATGCGAACTTCGATTTACCGCCAGCATGTTTGTTCACCTAGTAGTTTTCGCGCATACCATTGGGGTAGCGGTGGTTGTAGGCAGTGGGACTACATCCCTGTTTGTTGAGTAGGCAAACAAATATTTGGGGTTGTTTAAAACAGAAATATCCGATTACACAATTTGGATTAGATTATTTGATTTGGATATTCGGATTTTTGGATGAGTGTTCTACCAAATCGAGCTATTATTTTGGATTGGTTTGGTTTATAAAATCATAACCAAATATTCCAAAAAAACGTAATAAACATTTATAATTTATCTATTTATAATATATACATATAGTTATTTATTAATTTTGTAATTTATTTTTTCAAATAGGTTCAAACGTTTTACCCGATAAAAAAAACATTAATATACATTTTCTCTCAAAAGTTTTTTGTCTATAAAATAATCAACTATAGTATATCTTCTTATTAGTTGTTTATAAATTTCAAATCACAACTAAATAATTTATTTTTGCTTCTTGTGTAAAGTTGGTTAATATTATAATTATATGTCGTTTTAAAATGTTTCGAATTTTGTAAACCGAATTATAAAAGTTGATCCAACCGAATTGTAATTGGTTCGGTTCGGATCGGATTTGAATTTAGTTTGGACTATTCGGAACCATGTTCTGAAAACCGAAATCAATTTGGATTCACTTGATTGGATCGGATCAAACCGATCCATCCAAACGAACACCCCTAAATATTCAACCAAAAGCTACAGATAATTTTTAACAAAAATAGAAAACGGACCATGGCATGGATTAATACCAAAACAAAAACCAAAGTTACGGATGATTTTTAACAAAAAATAAACAAGGGATCTAGCTTGCAAGTTTATGTAAATATTCTAATTTTTTTTATCTTTTTATTTTTCTTTATTTTGAAAAAAAAAATGGAAGAGAGAGATGGGACTCAAAAGGGAAATTTGGGACATCAAATCGAAAAGAGGAGCAACTTGGGAGATCAAAAATGTGTATGTTGAAGGCATTGATGCATCTTCACCATCTATTTACTTTGTCCGCTTCGCTCTAGAACCAATCTCTACCTTCTCGACTTAGTCTATTTGTGGGCAAAGATCGAGAATTTCTGAGGTGGGATACACTTGTAAGAAGATGCAATGAGGGATTATGATTGTAAGTTAGGTAGAGAGCTCGTCAGAATTGTCTTCCTGGACGTGGTAATCGCCACAGAGTGGAAGAGGGGCGGGCCTAAGCCCCCTGATTTTTAGGGTTGTCAATGTATTTAAAGGCAATGATTCGTGTTTAAGGGTATTTTTCAGCCTTCATGTAACATCCCAAAGTTATGACCCAAAAAATTTCATTTTTGTTTAGTAAAAATAGTATTCCAAAACATTGTTCATACAACCCAATAAAATAAGCATGTCAAACATCATAAAAATCAGAGTATGTCCCATAAACAGAATCCATATGGTGTGTGCGATGCAGTCAACCCGAGCTCTTCCCCTTGGTAAGTTCCCAAAAATACCGCTTACCATACATATCATATAACGGGCCCCACCCACACTCGCATAGCGGGCCCCACCCAATAAGATACAGGCTTCGCCCACAATCGAATAACAGGCCCCGCCCATACTCGAATAATGGGCCCCGCCCAATAAACATACATATACAAACACATACAAGTATCACATAGACAACAAGTATAATAACATAACCAATCGAAGGTTGGCCTTAGTACCTTAGACCCGCTAAACCCAGTAAGGAAACTCACATCGAATGTTGAGTCTCACTGAAATAAATCACTAGTTGTTGTCCTGATGACTCCTCGAGCTAACAGTACAAAAATAACATTGTAACACCTGTT